TGTCATTATGTAAAAAATGAAAGTAAATTAGATTTTTCCGGAAGTATGCTATAATGCAAAGTTCATACCGTGCAATAGCCATTCGATGACCTCAATGAACACAGCAGTATATCTATATACTTCAATTACTTACATTCTCACGACATCCTGGTGCTTCGGTACCATCTTATCCGGTAAACAGCAACAAAAAGAACCCTTCGCTTCCTGAAGTAGACCCTCAAAAAATTGTTTTTCCACAAATCTTGAAGTTAAAGTATTGCTTCTAATTAACTACGAGCTTGTTTATCATCTATGTTTTCAACGACTAATCAAGTCAGCTTATTGAATTACAGTATTCCATTCATCACACAATGTGAGATGTTTTGAAGAAGACGACGTCACAACTTTATAATGACAAGTTTTAGCTCTGCTGACTCCTTAAATTTGCGAAATTACACCTCACAAATGTACTGTGACAACTGAAAATCTGAACTTATCACTAATTATGGAAGTTTTTTGGTTATTTCGAATAATCTACTCTAGCTAGCAATTTCGCTAATTAATTGGAATATGATAGTCTATCATTTTTGTGATATACATATATGTCCTTTTTTGAATGAGAAAAAGATACGATAAACGTTGAACTGCTTGCAACTGCTTTAAACTCACTTTTATCTTCCATGAACTTATCTCAATTGAAAATTTTATATTTGTCAAATCAAGCAATATTTGACTTAATCTACATTTGGACAGTAGAAATTTCAACTTCGTTGCAATTTCTTTCATGTAAATTCAATAACTGTTGGGGTGATATCATACATGTGACATCAGATAATGATATGACTAAGAGACAGTTTTAAAGACAGCATGCATTTCCCATACAAACTATTTTTTTTTCATTTTGCTATTTTGCTAAAAACCATAAGTTCCCTTCATTTCCTAGCTTATCTAATCTAAATTAAAAAAAAGAAAAAAAAAGAATATGGCGACACATTGACATCTACCAACAGTCCACCTATGGATCGATTGTGAATCCAAAATGGATGATGGAAAAGTGACTGCTCTGATGACTTTTTAGACTGTTCTGTTTACTTATTATGCTTCTTCCACCTCTTCCTCTCTACTCAACCGATATTGTCATATGTACAATGTATCTTCATGGCTGTTCCTGTATTTATATTGATTTAAAAAAAAAAAAAAAAATCAGATATTACTTTACTTCAACGTGCAGTTATGAAACTATTTCTACATAATGGTCATCTGTGTTTTTAATCACTCTAATGATATGCAAATTTTAGAGAACTATATGTTGAGGGAATAAACATAGAAGACGACTGACTTAACCCATTCGTATAACGATGTCAAAAACCATTGATTACTGTTGTAAAAATGACATCTTTTTCCATTCATTGCTTTTTAAAATTAATTTAAACCTGAAAAAAACTACAAAAGTGAGGTCAGGAAGAACGAATGAAACAAAGAATGGAATATGTTTCGTTTCTGAATAGTTTACTTCTAAAAAAAGTTCGCATAATATAACTTAGATATTGAAAATTCCTTTTTTTTTTTAAATATATTTCAATTTAAATTAATGCTAAAAATTTGAGGCACACATATTGTCAGTGCATGAAATTTCGGCCAGAATTTTGAGATATTTCATCGATTTCAATTATTAAACGTAAAATCTCATCGATTGCTTCTTTTTTTCCTTTTTTTTTTTAAAACGATCAAGCTGCATGACAATGATCATACGAGGAAAAATTGGTGATATCGTATTTGGGCGGTACCATCCCCTCTTTCTACCATTTGTCAATTGCTCCTCCCTTCACTTTTCCACTCATCATACAATCCTATCAATGCCATGTGTCGCCTGACAATCATTTATTTATCTGCTATCTTGCTTGACATTTATTATTCGATTTGTCTTCTCTTAAAACTTTTCCTTGAAGAATAAAAGTAGTGGAAATTTTTCTCTTAAAATTTTACCTGACCAACATTAACTTGGTAGAGAACAGGAACCCAAGGCACATATTACTAGGATTAGCTTGAAATCATTTATCTGAGGACTGATTAAGCAGATAATGGCACTTCTTAACAATTTAATATTAACTGTTAATTAATTTAATAGTAGAAGTTTTGTGCGGTGATATACAAATCTTTGGAATACATCAATAATATTAACTTCATTCCTAGTCCTTCCTTACTAGCATTGATGAGAGAGAGAAGCTAAACTAGCTGATGATTGTCAACCACACCCGTTTTCAATGTTTGTTCAACTGCAAGAGCGAAGTAGTGATGGGGATGGATAGTTAGGATGGGTTTTTGTTGTCAACTCATCCCATCCATTCATCTATTCCATCCTTTCTTTCCCATTCCATCATGCCTATGTCACCCTTCATCCATCCAATCATTTGATGATTTCCTTGAATCTCAGTAACACTATCACTTCTTATTTACATAGCAAATTTTATTTGAGCTGCTGTTACAGTTATTTTTAAACACCCAAAATTGTTTTGAACGGAAGGAAATTACCGTTCATCTTTAAAATTTACTATATCAAAAAGTCTAATTATTCCGTTTTTATATTCAAATTATTCTTCTAACAACAAAATTCTTGAATTTTTGATTTTTGGTACTTTTCTAAACTCAAATTTTGTAGATTTTCAATTTTCGTCAAATTCCGTCTATTATTCTAATCATATTTAGGCGAATAAATTGCAAATTCCTTTTGGAAAATCTATGAAATGAAAGATAAATAATTTTCAGTGTAGGAAATTAGCAAGATTTTCAACTTTTGTTTAGCGTAATTTATTTTCGAGAGCGCCAATAGCGCAAACTTTACGCGGGTAGATAAGCAATGATTTTTTTAATTGATAGATCTAAGAATTGAAAAGTTATTGATCCACTCATAAATGTTTTTACCGTAATTGGTTAATTAATACGTCTGGAGTAAGATGTCACCAGTAATTACCTCTCTTATTCTCGATAAAGTGGCCGTCTATTGGCTTTATTTGTTGTAATCTCTTAAACCATAAATTTTTGAAAATTTCGATAACTTCTATAATTCCCAATCCTCTTGCATATTTCTTCCCATTGAATTCATATTTTCTTCAGCAGTTTATTCATATCCGTCTTAAAGCTAACTTCCATTTCTGTGAAATTTGTATCTCTGTGAGAAACGGTTCCATTTAAGTTTTAATTTGATTTCGTTCCATAACTCATTTACCGCAGTTTTTCAACTTATTGAAAAAGAAATCGATATGGTTAAGGTCACATGCTAATACCCGCCCTTTCAAAGAACAAATATTTGGGTGATGTCTTATTTATACGACAAATCATTTGTTTATATATTTGTATAGTAAAAGGTGACAAATGAATACGGAATTAAAAACAGAAATCATTATCATCACTAGATGTGTGATAGTTTTTACCAATGGATATACAATTTAATTAATTGTATTGGTTGCTGTAATTAATTTGCTCTGATACTTTTGTTGGTAAACAATTGTTTTCTTTATTTATTACAAGAATATATGTAAAATTTTGACAGAATTATCTAAAGAAATGAGATTCATCACCAGTAAGATTCGATATTCATTTCTTCTATTTTCAGAATAAAAAAATCATCCATTTTCAACTTCACTTTTTCTAGCATCGCCTTTTCGTTACAAAAAAAAAAAAAAAGTTTAGGAAATTTTAGTATGAAATTTCAAAACGGAAAAAATTTTGTAGCCTTTTAATTCTGTTTTGAAATCAGTTCACTATTTTGCACTTTATCTTTCAATGTTCCATATGATTATGCAATCAGATGACTCGACAATCCGTCTGGTTGTATCCTTATACTTTACTGATAAGGATAAAATATTGTAAGTGATAAGAAGTTCCATTGGATTCACAAACATAATGGAAACTGAAGTAGTGCTGCTTATTTAGTCCCACCTACAAATTGTGGATTACCGTATTTTTGCGTTTAAACATGTGAGAATGTGTGAATAGATGTGTGTATGTATTTATGTGTGTGTGTGTGTGTGTTGTATGTTGTGTGTTGTCTGTGTCTGTGTGTGTGCGTATGTGTCAGGGTCTGTAAGGGGATTTTCAAATCGTCCAATTGCAGATTTTAATGAGTCATTCGAGAATGTTGAGAAAGTTTTGTCGCTGACTTGACCAGGACATAATGTGCAACTAGTTGGATAGACTTCTTCATCCTTCTTCGCTGTCACCACTGTCACCATTTTTCTAGTCAGTCGGTATTATCGAAGAGAGGCGTCTGTAAGCATCAAACACCTGTACGTATCATCTGTATGCTCACTGTTTGTGTCTGTCTGTGCCATTCCTTCTGACTAGCTTTATTAGCTGTACAAATAGGAAGACTCAGGTAGGCGGTGTAGGAGACGCTTTAGAAATGACAGGACAGTCTGAGATCGG